ATAGATGTGTATAAAAGAGAGTATATATATATATATATATATATATATATATATATATATCTATATTTTTTTTTTTTTTGATAACATGAATGTTACCCTCTTGCCTGTGCTATGGCAATTGTTTTGTTTTGAGACGGATACAAATGACTAATGATTATGGATGTTGCAANTTTTTTTTTTTTTTTGATAACATGAATGTTACCCTCTTGCCTGTGCTATAGCAATTGTTTTGTTTTGAGATGGATACAAATGACTAATGATTATGGATGTTGCGAGCTAAATGTTATCTCATCCTGAAATTGCCAAATCTGTGACAAACTTTCTCTTCTAGCATCCTTGATAATATTCACATATGATGAAGCCTTTTTTAAATCAAAGACTGCATGATAAATATGTTTACTTAGGTTTTGTTTTTGTCTACATACTTAATGAGACCGCTTATTTGTTTTCACAGGCTGTAAAGAAGGGAGACACCATTTTTGTTGGCCAATACCTGTTTACAGGAAGTGAAACTACATCGGTGTGGCTGGAGGTAGGAAGAATACTACATAGAATGACGAATTTAATTTACTATTTTATTTGAGTAGTTTTTTTTTTGTTCGTTTCTCTTTTCCCTATCTCCCCACCCCCCCCAAAAAAAAAAAAAAACCAACAAAGGTCAAGTCAGAGGTGAACAAGAAATGGTAATGAAAGTTGATGTGATCAGGGTCGTTAAATATTATGTGGCTTGATCGGGTTTTTCATTTGGGTTGAGCAGGTAGTTGAGGTGAAAAATGAAGATGTAGTCTGTGTGATAAAGAACTCTGCAACCTTGGCTGGGTCTCTGTTCACTTTGCATGCCTCTCAAATTCGAATTGACTTGCCTACTCTCTCGGGCAAGGATAAGGAGGTGAGTTCTGATTTTAAACAATACATTCTAAGAATGAGAAAGATTGTTCTCATGCACATGTGCATATGCAGTTTTTGTAACATGTGAAAATGGTTGACAGCATACAAAATATGAAACTACCACCCAAAGGCAAATTTTTCTCAGATAAAATACGTCGGTGATCTTCATTTTTGTGAAGATACAATTGTTTGTATTTGCTGCTTGCTGAAAATTTTTACTGAAGGAATCTCCATTAACGCGTATTTGGAAAAATGAAACCACGCATAGTTACCTCCTTGCGTATTTTCAAGTATAGTGCACAGAATTGGAGGATATATAGGACATTTAATATTTGAAATCTGCATGATTTGGTTGACATTTGGTGACATATGCTTCCAGAAAAAAGTTGCTAATTTTCCCCTTTTTGTCCAGTTAGCTTGCATTCTATGCCATGTGACTCTTTTTTATATGATTATAAACCTAGTATATTTGGTGACATATGGATTTGATTTCAGGTTATTAGTACATGGGGTGTTCAAAATAAAATTGACTTCCTCTCACTATCATATACAAGGCACGCAGAAGATGTTCGTGAAGTAAGAATCATGCTTGACTTGTGGCCTTATTTTTGATGTTCCTCTTTTAGTTCCTTAAGTCTTTCTGTAATCATTTTGGGTGTATAAGTAAGTTTCTTCTTTTTGCCATGACACAGGCCCGTGAATATCTATCTAAGTTGGGTGATCTTAGTCAGACTCAAATTTTTGCAAAAATCGAAAATGTAGAGGTGAGTTCATATATTACTAGCTTGAATGAGGTGGGCACTGTGTTCCAGATGCTCTGTGAGGTTTAGAATTTATACATTTCTTTTTCAACTGTGTAGGGTTTAACCCATTTTGATGAGATCCTACAAGAAGCAGATGGGATCATCCTGTCCCGTGGAAACCTTGGCATAGATCTCCCACCTGAGAAGGTTAGTTTTGATAATTTGGAGGGAAAATCATTTTATTGCACAGATTGGGATGTTAGGATGGTTAGTGTCCACATGTCCATGGTCACTTGATACATGCACAGAATTCTCACATGCAGGTCTAGACATTATGTCGAGCCCTGCCACTATACATGTACCCGTATGTCACAAATACAAGGGTAGCATTATGCATATGTGTGTCAATGCAAGTATATAATATCTGCATATTTACATGCTTGATATGCCAAAAAAGAGGAGTTCAAGTTCATTTCGTCTTCCTTAAATCAATGNGAAGATGTTCGTGAAGTAAGAATCATGCTTGACTTGTGGCCTTATTTTTGATGTTCCTCTTTTAGTTCCTTAAGTCTTTCTGTAATCATTTTGGGTGTATAAGTAAGTTTCTTCTTTTTGCCATGACACAGGCCCGTGAATATCTATCTAAGTTGGGTGATCTTAGTCAGACTCAAATTTTTGCAAAAATCGAAAATGTAGAGGTGAGTTCATATATTACTAGCTTGAATGAGGTGGGCACTGTGTTCCAGATGCTCTGTGAGGTTTAGAATTTATACATTTCTTTTTCAACTGTGTAGGGTTTAACCCATTTTGATGAGATCCTACAAGAAGCAGATGGGATCATCCTGTCCCGTGGAAACCTTGGCATAGATCTCCCACCTGAGAAGGTTAGTTTTGATAATTTGGAGGGAAAATCATTTTATTGCACAGATTGGGATGTTAGGATGGTTAGTGTCCACATGTCCATGGTCACTTGATACATGCACAGAATTCTCACATGCAGGTCTAGACATTATGTCGAGCCCTGCCACTATACATGTACCCGTATGTCACAAATACAAGGGTAGCATTATGCATATGTGTGTCATTGCAAGTATATAATATCTGCATATTTACATGCTTGATATGCCAAAAAAGAGGAGTTCAAGTTCATTTCGTCTTCCTTAAATCAATGGGTTATCTATTCCTTTTGAAGGAAGCCTTATCCTATATTTTAGTACCTTTTTCTTTCTCTTACAACAAAAAATGGGATTTCTTATTTCGGGTCCTGGTTTGAAGAATATATTTTAGGGCTTGTACTTATTAATTAATGTTTATTTTATGTTTGTATAGGACATTTTGCTAATTACTATCGCCCTGCGTGGAATTTGCAGGTGTTCTTGTTTCAGAAGGCTGCTGTTTACAAGTGTAACATGGCTGGAAAACCAGCGGTGGTAACTCGTGTCGTGGACAGCATGACTGATAATCTGAGACCAACTCGTGCAGAAGCTACTGATGTTGCCAATGCCGTGTTGGATGGTAAGTCTCTCTTTCCAGCCAGAGGTATTTTTTTTGGTTGCCTATTGAGGTCCTTTAGTCCTTTATTATTATCACTTGTTTCTCCATACTATGTTATGTTATTGTTTTCAACATACGTATGGTTAGTATCACTGTCCATTGGTTTGGTGCCCGCATTTTTGAATTCCCTTTGCTCTCATTTTCATGTTCACGACTTTGTAGTATGGCATTTTTTGAATTATGAAATGGAAATCTGAATGCTAATATATACATAATGTATTTAAATTGTGCAGGCAGTGATGCAATTCTTCTTGGTGCTGAGACTTTGAGAGGATTATACCCTGTTGAGACTATTTCTATCGTCGGTAAAATTTGTGCTGAGGTAAAAGCTTTTTCCTTGACATTGCTCATGAAATTTTCTGCTTTTTGAGAACATTTACTTTAAATCTTTGCCCGCTGAAATTGTATTGTAAAGAATGAATTAATCTATGTTACCTTGATTTTCTGTGAAATTAACTGCAAACCTTATTTTGTTGTTATTATGAAGGCAGAGAAGGTCTTCAATCAAGATCTGTACTTCAAGAAGACTGTCAAATATGTTGGCGAACCAATGACCCACTTAGAATCTATTGCTTCATCCGCGGTAGTTTTACTTCAGTGTTGCTATTGTACTCCTTTATTTTTTGGTTTTAGTTTTGTCATATTGGTTTTGTAACATGTATCCTTCACTTTCTTTTCTAGGTACGGGCTGCCATTAAGGTGAAGGCATCTGTTATTATTTGCTTCACTTCATCTGGAAGGGCTGCAAGGTATTTTATTTTTCTCTCTACATAAGAACATAGACTTCTGAATCCATACCTCCCCAAAATGGAAATGTGGTGAGGCGTGGAACATTAATTGTTTTCCATACCATGAGTATAATTCCAATATGCAATTATCTTTCCCAAATTCTCTCATCCACATATTACTTAATAATGTTGTCGTTGTAATGTGCAGGTTAATTGCAAAGTATAGGCCAACAATGCCAGTTCTGTCAGTCGTCATCCCCAGGCTTAAGACAAATCAATTGCGATGGAGCTTTAGTGGTGCATTTGAGGTATGCTTCTGACTCTTTTAATTATGGGCTGCCTATAGCAGGAAGAAAGTTCTTGTTACTTGCAATAGGGGATGGAACTTGATTGAACTTTTTCACAGCCATCAATTTTCTTGTCTTTACTGAAGCAAACACTGAATTGGATCTATGATTGTTGACTTCTCTTCTTAGATGCCCAGTTGATGAATGAATGAATAAAGGATTGTGGTCATTGGCCTAACATTTTAGTTTTCAACTGACCTAGTGGTATGTGATTGTGAATTTGTGATCTGTATCAGATGTTATGACAGCCATAATAATCCTCGAATGAAAACTGCTTACGAGTTAAACTTTTTCTCTTTTCACACCCTTTTCTTTGATGGGTTTCTTATTCTTCTCCTTTCTTTTTTCTGTTTCCCCTTCTTTCTCTTTTTTTGTTCTTTTTTTCGATTTATTGGTGTGGCTGGGAGTTGGGGGGCGCTTGCATGGGGCCCTGCCAATCATTGTCTTACAGAAGGCATATTGGTAAATAGTTCTTCTTAGTCTTGACTGACAGTTTATAATCTTACGCTGCTATTATATTTTTATATGTGTGGCATCTTAATGCATTGAATCTGGAAATCCATATTGTTTAATGTGATCTGATTTTGNGAAAATGTAGAGGTGAGTTCATATATTACTAGCTTGAATGAGGTGGGCACTGTGTTCCAGATGCTCTGTGAGGTTTAGAATTTATACATTTCTTTTTCAACTGTGTAGGGTTTAACCCATTTTGATGAGATCCTACAAGAAGCAGATGGGATCATCCTGTCCCGTGGAAACCTTGGCATAGATCTCCCACCTGAGAAGGTTAGTTTTGATAATTTGGAGGGAAAATCATTTTATTGCACAGATTGGGATGTTAGGATGGTTAGTGTCCACATGTCCATGGTCACTTGATACATGCACAGAATTCTCACATGCAGGTCTAGACATTATGTCGAGCCCTGCCACTATACATGTACCCGTATGTCACAAATACAAGGGTAGCATTATGCATATGTGTGTCATTGCAAGTATATAATATCTGCATATTTACATGCTTGATATGCCAAAAAAGAGGAGTTCAAGTTCATTTCGTCTTCCTTAAATCAATGGGTTATCTATTCCTTTTGAAGGAAGCCTTATCCTATATTTTAGTACCTTTTTCTATCTCTTACAACAAAAAATGGGATTTCTTATTTCGGTTCCTGGTTTGAAGAATATATTTTAGGGCTTGTACTTATTAATTAATGTTTATTTTATGTTTGTANCAATGGGTTATCTATTCCTTTTGAAGGAAGCCTTATCCTATATTTTAGTACCTTTTTCTTTCTCTTACAACAAAAAATGGGATTTCTTATTTCGGGTCCTGGTTTGAAGAATATATTTTAGGGCTTGTACTTATTAATTAATGTTTATTTTATGTTTGTATAGGACATTTTGCTAATTACTATCGCCCTGCGTGGAATTTGCAGGTGTTCTTGTTTCAGAAGGCTGCTGTTTACAAGTGTAACATGGCTGGAAAACCAGCGGTGGTAACTCGTGTCGTGGACAGCATGACTGATAATCTGAGACCAACTCGTGCAGAAGCTACTGATGTTGCCAATGCCGTGTTGGATGGTAAGTCTCTCTTTCCAGCCAGAGGTATTTTTTTTNGGAAAACCAGCGGTGGTAACTCGTGTCGTGGACAGCATGACTGATAATCTGAGACCTACTCGTGCAGAAGCTACTGATGTTGCCAATGCCGTGTTGGATGGTAAGTCTCTCTTTCCAGCCAGAGGTATTTTTTTTGGTTGCCTATTGAGGTCCTTTAGTCCTTTATTATTATCACTTGTTTCTCCATACTATGTTATGTTATTGTTTTCAACATACGTATGGTTAGTATCACTGTCCATTGGTTTGGTGCCCGCATTTTTGAATTCCCTTTGCTCTCATTTTCATGTTCACGACTTTGTAGTATGGCATTTTTTGAATTATGAAATGGAAATCTGAATGCTAATATATACATAATGTATTTAAATTGTGCAGGCAGTGATGCAATTCTTCTTGGTGCTGAGACTTTGAGAGGATTATACCCTGTTGAGACTATTTCTATCGTCGGTAAAATTTGTGCTGAGGTAAAAGCTTTTTCCTTGACATTGCTCATGAAATTTTCTGCTTTTTGAGAACATTTACTTTAAATCTTTGCCCGCTGAAATTGTATTGTAAAGAATGAATTAATCTATGTTACCTTGATTTTCTGTGAAATTAACTGCAAACNGACATTGCTCATGAAATTTTCTGCTTTTTGAGAACATTTACTTTAAATCTTTGCCCCCTGAAATTGTATTGTAAAGAATGAATTAATCTATGTTACCTTGATTTTCTGTGAAATTAACTGCAAGCCTTATTTTGTTGTTATTATGAAGGCAGAGAAGGTCTTCAATCAAGATCTGTACTTCAAGAAGACTGTCAAATATGTTGGCGAACCAATGACCCACTTAGAATCTATTGCTTCATCCGCGGTAGTTTTACTTCAGTGTTGCTATTGTACTCCTTTATTTTTTGGTTTTAGTTTTGTCATATTGGTTTTGTAACATGTATCCTTCACTTTCTTTTCTAGGTACGGGCTGCCATTAAGGTGAAGGCATCTGTTATTATTTGCTTCACTTCATCTGGAAGGGCTGCAAGGTATTTTATTTTTCTCTCTACATAAGAACATAGACTTCTGAATCCATACCTCCCCAAAATGGAAATGTGGTGAGGCGTGGAACATTAATTGTTTTCCATACCATGAGTATAATTCCAATATGCAATTATCTTTCCCAAATTCTCTCATCCACATATTACTTAATAATGTTGTCGTTGTAATGTGCAGGTTAATTGCAAAGTATAGGCCAACAATGCCAGTTCTGTCAGTCGTCATCCCCAGGCTTAAGACAAATCAATTGCGATGGAGCTTTAGTGGTGCATTTGAGGTATGCTTCTGACTCTTTTAATTATGGGCTGCCTATAGCAGGAAGAAAGTTCTTGTTACTTGCAATAGGGGATGGAACTTGATTGAACTTTTTCACAGCCATCAATTTTCTTGTCTTTACTGAAGCAAACACTGAATTGGATCTATGATTGTTGACTTCTCTTCTTAGATGCCCAGTTGATGAATGAATGAATAAAGGATTGTGGTCATTGGCCTAACATTTTAGTTTTCAACTGACCTAGTGGTATGTGATTGTGAATTTGTGATCTGTATCAGATGTTATGACAGCCATAATAATCCTCGAATGAAAACTGCTTACGAGTTAAACTTTTTCTCTTTTCACACCCTTTTCTTTGATGGGTTTCTTATTCTTCTCCTTTCTTTTTTCTGTTTCCCCTTCTTTCTCTTTTTTTGTTCTTTTTTTCGATTTATTGGTGTGGCTGGGAGTTGGGGGGCGCTTGCATGGGGCCCTGCCAATCATTGTCTTACAGAAGGCATATTGGTAAATAGTTCTTCTTAGTCTTGACCGACAGTTTATAATCTTACGCTGCTATTATATTTTTATGTGTGTGGCATCTTAATGCATTGAATCTGGAAATCCATATTGTTTAATGTGATCTGATTTAGAGGTTGCTATAGCTTTTTACACAGTGGTCTGCACTTGACCAAAATACATCAGATATTGATTTATACTTATCAAAGTACGTTGATGTATGATTTTCAGGAACTTTCACCTTAGGCAATTGACTGTCTGTGTTATAGAAGTTTCTTAGTGTTCCTATGTAAATTTCCTTTTTCCTCCCTTCTACTATCCATTTAGTATTTGAACTAATGGCTCCATTTTTGTGTCTCTATCTGAATGATTAGGCAAGGCAGTCCCTTATAGTCAGAGGTCTTTTCCCAATGCTTGCTGATCCTCGACATCCTGTAAGTTGTTAATTGACTTATTGGTTGATGCTGTTGTTTATGGTTCAACTTTAATTTGTTTTCCTATAGTGGGGTTTCCTACAAGAAAATGTGAAAGGGACCTTGGTTGCATATTCATCATTCAAGTGACCTCATTGAACTATTCTACTTACAGTCAGGATGCGCATGAAACATATTTAGATATCTGTTTTTGCACTGGCTTTGTTCTTACGGATGCTTTACACCGAGAGTGCTATGGCAAATGATGTGGACTAATATACTTTCCACGGGACATTAAAGGAGTCCATTAATATTTTTTACTGGACTAGATACACTTGGTAAACCCGTCTTATGCTGGATATATTCCATTGGCTTGACTTTCCTGGCTAGCAGAATAAGGTGTGGAAAACTATATGCACAGGGCCAAAGCCAGTACTATTGCCAGACTGCTGGGATTAGTGTTTTCTTCAGAGCCAAAATTAATTTTCTTCCTCTTGTAGGTCTGAGATCAGGAATGAACACTGCTAAAAAATTCTGTATTTCCTAACAATTCTGTTGTCGCCTTTTTTTAGTGCTGTCCAAAACCACATCTTGGATGGTTCCTTGATAGACTCAGACTGCACTTCCTGCAAATCCTATGTTCACTCAATCCAGCATGAGTGCCACCAGTGATTGGGTCGCAAATTGGCTGAGGCCAGTTAAGCCAAGCCAAGCAAGAGTCTGTTCGGCTCAGCTCAGTGAAATCCCCTATGCTCTGACTCACTTGTTTTGGCTAACTTGGGGGCTTCATCTCAGAAGCTGGTTGGCTTGGCTTATGTTTGGTTTCCTCACGAGCCAGTTTGGTGTAGTTCAAAATGGACCGAAAGATGAAGTCAGTGTAATTGTGTGCATATTGTTCTTGATTTAGATTTCATAAAATCTGACGTTCACCTACTTGATTTTCCAGGCTGAGTCTACAAACGCGACAAATGAATCAGTTCTGAAGGTTGCACTTGATCATGGAAAGGCCTCGGGAGTTGTAAAGTCACATGACAGGGTTGTGGTTTGCCAAAAAGTTGGGGATGCATCTGTGGTGAAGATTATTGAGCTTGAAGATTAAAACCCTTATGTCGGCCTCCTTTTGAGTTGTTTCTTCTTCCTACTTATTTGGAACTGGTGCTGGACTTTATCGTCATCACCCATGAGGTTTAATCTCAATGTTTGGAGACTATATTATGCTGGTCAATTTTCGTCCATCGAAATTGTGGTCACACAAACTATATTGTGGGCGACCCCCATGTTTTTGTTTAAGTATCGAATTCATCTTCAGGCTCATGCCCAATAATTTCGTAATATGTATTTTCTGGCAACGGATGAATAAATCGGTTTTGGCTTGGTGAGGCTATTGGATTTTAATTTTAATTTTAATTTTTTTTTTATGAATTGATCTTGAATTCTTTGTGAGAGGGTGTTTGTTCCGTTCAAGCTCATGGCTTCACTCTTGCGGCAAGCGCCCTGTCGTTTACCCTCGCTCATGGTGCAGTCAATGTAGGATCCAGCGACGCCCCCATCGTGAAATATACCCCATCAAACAGCTGCTATGGCAATGTATCTTGGGCTCATTGCTTTCATGGGGAATTTAGTTTTGAATAATGATATTCCTGTTGATTGGAATATATATGATTGGTACTGAAAGTAACAGCACATTCAATTTTCTATCAATTGCATAATAGGGTAACTTATTGGCAATCTTTTTCATGTTGAGACAAGGTTTTGTTGAGTCGGGTCTTAGTTGTAATCGCAAATTGTCCTAATATTGCCCGACAACATTGTCCCTCATTTTGATGATTTTTGATTTCTTAAACACAACCAAATAACAAGAGAATCTGGATTTCATTAAAATATTTAGCTCAAAAGTCTGTTTCGGTTGTCAAACACCGGAGGATTCTACATATTATGTTATAAAAACTCAATGACATAATGGGATTCAAATATGATACCGAAAATTAATTTTTTTTAAATTATATTTTTCATTAAAAATTTATAATAAAAATTATTCTATTATTTTTTATCACATCATTATTTTTTCAATCAATAGTTGCATATCATCCACACTTAACAGTTGGATGTTTTTTGGTAGGGTAATGTAGAAAACTAATTCAATGCAATTATTAGATTAATTGTGAGCTCTAATATTAGATAAAGATTATTTTTAATTTAATTGTAATATTAAATTAAATTCCCAAATTAAGTCCCAATACAATTTTCACTTTTGCTATTTTGTAATCTTATCTAATGTGAATTACTCTTGTTTTTTTTTTTTGAACTGTGATAATGTATTCAAATATTTGAGAAAGCAATACAATCAATATTATAAGAGCATACAACAAAAGCTATTTTAGCTACTCAAAAAATATTTTTTATTTTAACTACTCACTTTTTCTATACTTTAACAGATTTTTTATATTTTTAACTACTCATTTTAAATATTATTTCTCATTCTTTTTGTATAATTTTTTTTTTGAGAATAGTGAAAGGGAGAAAAAAAGAGATCGGAAGAAAGGAGAGAAAGAGAGGAAAAATATTATAATTTTTTTTTACAAAACCATACAGTGATACTCTAAATATAGAGTATTCTTGTAGTAAAATGTTATTTTAGATGTTTTGGAGGTAATCTGTTGAAATGAAATTTTTGGGTTAAATAGCTAAAATTTGAAGATTTTGTGTCCTTTAACTCATCTGTTGGAGATGCTCATGGGCAGGTTTGTTGTTCTGTATTGGGGTATGGGCGAGACTTAATTGCATCTTGTTGACAGCAACTTCTCCAAAGGGGGAGGGGAGGGGAGGGGGGGTTCCTCAGTAGCTCCATATGTGATGATGAATGCATTGTCTGTCAGAACCAAAGAGAAAAAGAAGAGAGTTCTGTGAATGCTAACTTGAAGAATTGTTATTTATTAAGNTTGGATATATTCCATTGGCTTGACTTTCCTGGCTAGCAGAATAAGGTGTGGAAAACTATATGCACAGGGCCAAAGCCAGTACTATTGCCAGACTGCTGGGATTAGTGTTTTCTTCAGAGCCAAAATTAATTTTCTTCCTCTTGTAGGTCTGAGATCAGGAATGAACACTGCTAAAAAATTCTGTATTTCCTAACAATTCTGTTGTCGCCTTTTTTTAGTGCTGTCCAAAGCCACATCTTGGATGGTTCCTTGATAGACTCAGACTGCACTTCCTGCAAATCCTATGTTCACTCAATCCAGCATGAGTGCCACCAGTGATTGGGTCGCAAATTGGCTGAGGCCAGTTAAGCCAAGCCAAGCAAGAGTCTGTTCGGCTCAGCTCAGTGAAATCCCCTATGCTCTGACTCACTTGTTTTGGCTAACTTGGGGGCTTCATCTCAGAAGCTGGTTGGCTTGGCTTATGTTTGGTTTCCTCACGAGCCAGTTTGGTGTAGTTCAAAATGGACCGAAAGATGAAGTCAGTGTAATTGTGTGCATATTGTTCTTGATTTAGATTTCATAAAATCTGACGTTCACCTACTTGATTTTCCAGGCTGAGTCTACAAACGCGACAAATGAATCAGTTCTGAAGGTTGCACTTGATCATGGAAAGGCCTCGGGAGTTGTAAAGTCACATGACAGGGTTGTGGTTTGCCAAAAAGTTGGGGATGCATCTGTGGTGAAGATTATTGAGCTTGAAGATTAAAACCCTTATGTCGGCCTCCTTTTGAGTTGTTTCTTCTTCCTAATTATTTGGAACTGGTGCTGGACTTTATCGTCATCACCCATGAGGTTTAATCTCAATGTTTGGAGACTATATTATGCTGGTCAATTTTCGTCCATCGAAATTGTGGTCACACAAACTATATTGTGGGCGACCCCCATGTTTTTGTTTAAGTATCGAATTCATCTTCAGGCTCATGCCCAATAATTTCGTAATATGTATTTTCTGGCAACGGATGAATAAATCGGTTTTGGCTTGGTGAGGCTATTGGATTTTAATTTTAATTTTAATTTTTTTTTTATGAATTGATCTTGAATTCTTTGTGAGAGGGTGTTTGTTCCGTTCAAGCTCATGGCTTCACTCTTGCGGCAAGCGCCCTGTCGTTTACCCTCGCTCATGGTGCAGTCAATGTAGGATCCAGCGACGCCCCCATCGTGAAATATACCCCATCAAACAGCTGCTATGGCAATGTATCTTGGGCTCATTGCTTTCATGGGGAATTTAGTTTTGAATAATGATATTCCTGTTGATTGGAATATATATGATTGGTACTGAAAGTAACAGCACATTCAATTTTCTATCAATTGCATAATAGGGTAACTTATTGGCAATCTTTTTCATGTTGAGACAAGGTTTTGTTGAGTCGGGTCTTAGTTGTAATCGCAAATTGTCCTAATATTGCCCGACAACATTGTCCCTCATTTTGATGATTTTTGATTTCTTAAACACAACCAAATAACAAGAGAATCTGGATTTCATTAAAATATTTAGCTCAAAAGTCTGTTTCGGTTGTCAAACACCGGAGGATTCTACATATTATGTTATAAAAACTCAATGACATAATGGGATTCAAATATGATACCGAAAATTAATTTTTTTTANAACAAGAGAATCTGGATTTCATTAAAATATTTAGCTCAAAAGTCTGTTTCGGTTGTCAAACACTGGAGGATTCTACATATTATGTTATAAAAACTCAATGACATAATGGGATTCAAATATGATACTGAAAATTAATTTTTTTAAAATTATATTTTTCATTAAAAATTTATAATAAAAATTATTCTATTATTTTTTATCACATCATTATTTTTTCAATCAATAGTTGCATATCATCCACACTTAACAGTTGGATGTTTTTTGGTAGGGTAATGTAGAAAACTAATTCAATGCAATTATTAGATTAATTGTGAGCTCTAATATTAGATAAAGATTATTTTTAATTTAATTGTAATATTAAATTAAATTCCCAAATTAAGTCCCAATACAATTTTCACTTTTGCTATTTTGTAATCTTATCTAATGTGAATTACTCTTGTTTTTTTTTTTTGAACTGTGATAATGTATTCAAATATTTGAGAAAGCAATACAATCAATATTATAAGAGCATACAACAAAAGCTATTTTAGCTACTCAAAAAATATTTTTTATTTTAACTACTCACTTTTTCTATACTTTAACAGATTTTTTATATTTTTAACTACTCATTTTAAATATTATTTCTCATTCTTTTTGTATAATTTTTTTTTTGAGAATAGTGAAAGGGAGAAAAAAAGAGATCGGAAGAAAGGAGAGAAAGAGAGGAAAAATATTATAATTTTTTTTTACAAAACCATACAGTGATACTCTAAATATAGAGTATTCTTGTAGTAAAATGTTATTTTAGATGTTTTGGAGGTAATCTGTTGAAATGAAATTTTTGGGTTAAATAGCTAAAATTTGAAGATTTTGTGTCCTTTAACTCATCTGTTGGAGATGCTCATGGGCAGGTTTGTTGTTCTGTATTGGGGTATGGGCGAGACTTAATTGCATCTTGTTGACAGCAACTTCTCCAAAGGGGGAGGGGAGGGGAGGGGGGGTTCCTCAGTAGCTCCATATGTGATGATGAATGCATTGTCTGTCAGAACCAAAGAGAAAAAGAAGAGAGTTCTGTGAATGCTAACTTGAAGAATTGTTATTTATTAAGTGACTATAATGACTAATAAATAGTCTCACACAAATATTCAAAAGGAAATAACAACCCACGATTTTACAGGTCCTATAATCGTGGAGCATGACTAGTTAAACAGAAAATCATACTTGTTCCTCAAGCATAGGAGGAATTATTCAACACTGCAGGAAATAATCCTAAAAAACAGGGAACTCTGAACCTAACAGCTAGGAAGCTTCAACAACTTCAACATCCTCCCTTAAACTGAATACTATTGACATTCAATTTATATCTGGACATTCACACACACCCAGTAAACCTCGCATCTTCAAATATACATCAAGCTTCAATGGCTTTGTTAGAACATCTGCAACTTGCTCTTGTGTAGAGCATTGAATCAGCTCCATTACTTTATTCTTGACAAGTTCTCGAAGGAAATGAAACCTTACATCTATGTGCTTGCTACGACCATGCATTACAGGGTTCTTTGAGAGTTTGATCGCTGAGATATTGTCACAACACACCACCGTTGGACTGCTTTGCACTTGATTGAGATTCTCCAGAATTTTTCTTAACCACACGACTTGGCATGCACTTGATGTTGCTGATATAAACTCAGCTTCGGTGGTGGAGAGAGTAACAACTGGTTGTTTCTTTGAAGACCAAGAAACAACTCCTGCGCTCAACAGAAAGACATAGCCTGAGAGGTGCTCTTTTTGTCATCCTGATCACCAGCATATTCGCTGTCCGTGTACCCGATGAGCTCTTCACTTCCTCCCTTCTTGTAGAACACCCCAAAGTTAATCGTACCCTTCATGTACCTCAGAACCCTTTTTGCTACCAACAAGTGAGACTCAGTAGGAGGCTCCACGTACCTAGTAATCAAGCTGACAATAAACATCAGATCAGGGCGTGTGGAAGTTAAGTACATGAGACTTCCCACCATCTGCTTGTAGACAGTACTATCAACTTCAACTCTCTCTTCATCTTTCGTGAGTTTAAAACCAGGGACCACTGGATTGTGTACTGAGTTGCACTGATCCATATAGAACTTCTTCAATACCTCTTGAGCATACTTCCGTTGACTAATAAAAATACCATATGTCCTTTGTAACACTTCAATACCAAGAAAATACCTCATTCTTCCAAGGTCAGTCATGTCAAACTCAATCATCATGGATTTCTAAAATTTTTCGAACATCACTTCATCATTGCCAGTAAAAAATGAGGTCATCAACATAAATACACACAAATAAAATTTTACCTCCACCTGTAGTTTTAATGAATAAAGTGTGCTCATAGGGACATTTGGTGAAGCCTTCTTTGATAAAATATGTCTCAATGCAACTATACCAGGCTCGGGGAGCCTGTTTGAGTCCATACAAATAAACCTTGGATTCATGCCCCTTTTGGTCATAACCTGGAGGTTGATCGACAAAGACCTCTTCATTGATTTCTCCATGTAGAAATGCCGACTTGACATCAAGCTGGTAGATCACCCAGCTTTTCTGAGCAGCAAGGGATATAACAATTCGAATGGTGTCCATGCGAGCCACTGGTGCAAATACTTCAGCATAATCAATTCCATATTCCTGACAGTACCCCTTAGCGACTAGCCGAGCTTTGTACTTGTCCACTTCCCCATTTTCGTTAAGCTTCGTCTTAAAGACCCACTTCACTCCTATGGTTTTTCCTCCTGATGGCAGCGCCACTAGTTCCTATGTATTGTTCCTTTCGATGGCTTGTATTTCCTGATCCATAGCTTGCCTCCATTTCTCAAACTTCACAGCTTCTTCAAATGTCGTGGGATCCCCGTCAGTGAACAAGGCCAAATGTGTCATGTTTGCACTTTCTTCATCAGAGAGACCTTGTCTAGTTTCATAGTCTCTCATCCAAACTGGTGTCCTCCGAGCTCGTCCTTTACGTTGTGAGTTCTCAGCATTTGGAGTGTCTCCCCCATTTGGATCAGACTCAGATTCAGTCTCTTCAGGCTCTTCATCAGCTTCAGACTCCTCTCCATTACTCTCATCTTCTAGTCCTGCTTCTTCATCAGTTTCCCACTCCAGATCAGCTAATATGGCTTGCTTGTGACTATCATCCCAACTCCATTGTTGATCTTCTTCAAACACCATGTCTCAACTGTCAATTATTTTATTGGAAAGAGGATCAAATAATCTATAAGCTTTAGATTTGTCACTTAACCCCAGCAAGACGCATTTGAAACTCTTGGCATCGAACTTCACTCTNTTTTTAACTACTCATTTTAAATATTATTTCTCATTCTTTTTGTATAATTTTTTTTTGAGAATAGTGAAAGGGAGAAAAAAAGAGATCGGAAGAAAGGAGAGAAAGAGAGGAAAAATATTATAATTTTTTTTATACAAAACCATACAGTGATACTCTAAATATAGAGTATTCTTGTAGTAAAATGTTATTTTAGATGTTTTGAAGATAATCTGTTGAAATGAAATTTTTGGGTTAAATAGCTAAAATTTAAAGATTTTGTGTCCTTTTAACTCATTGNCTGATGGTTTGAGCTCACTCCACGCCTCCTTAGGTGTCTTGTTCTTCACGGCAAGGATCGGACATCGATTCAGCACATGCACAGTCCAGTTCACAGTTTCAGGCCAGAAGGTCTTGAGAATTTGTTTTGCTGACAGCATACTTCGCACCATATTCATTATGGTACGATTCTTCCTCTTAACTGTCTATGGATTCCATTTTCATTACAAAAATTTGTGAACTCCTGTAATGTGAACTCTCCCCCACAATCTGTTCTAAGAGTCCGTATGAATGTCCCGGTTTCCTTCTCAACTTTTGCTTTGTAGGAATTGAATGTGGCAAATGCTTTTGACTTCTCCACTAAGAAATAAACCCAAGTTTTTCTACTGAAATCATCAATGAAGACGATGAGATACCGTTTCATGCTGTTTGAAATTGGGTTGATTGGTCCATATATGTCAGCGTGCACCAGCTGAAGAATGTTGGGGGCTCTCCACATGCTTTTATTGGAAAATCAATCATGGTGCTGCCTTCCTACCAAGCAATCTTC